CACAGCAGCAGCGCATAGACAGAGATAGTGCTCTCAACCAGTTACCAGAAGCACCACAGACTGATCGGATAACAATTGAGTGTGGTTTGACTGAAAACACACCAGTTTCAGCATCACCATCAGTCACTGCAGCATCATTTGCAGCTGCGCAGAAGGCAGATCCAACTTTGAAAAAGTGTTTTGAGAAAGCGATGTTGCCAGGTTACCAACATGCCAGAAATGGGAAATGGCAATTTTATGTCAAGAATGGACTGTTGATGCGTTACTTCGAGGCTGCACTCCATATTTACAAACAACTAGTGGTACCTAAAGCACATAGGGTCGAGGTTCTAAAGACTGCACATGATATTCCTTTTGCAGGGCACTTAGGTACTGGTAAGACACAGAGAAGGATTCTTTCTCAATTTTACTGGCCAGGTTTCTCTAAAGACATCAAGACATATTGCAGGTCATGTCAGCAGTGTCAACGGATGGCAAGAAAGGATGCATCACAAAATGCTCCAATCCAAAAGACAGACTTACCATTTCGTCCATTCGAGAAAGTAGCTATCGACATTGTTGGACCACTTTCTATTATGTCAAAAAGAGGATATCGCTACATATTAACCTTTATTGACCTTGCTTCTCGTTGGCCCGAGGCGGTGCCGATGAAATTTATCACCACAGAGGCAGTAGCTGAAGCTCTTATATCTATATTTTCTAGACTAGGGTTTCCTGATACCATTTTATCAGACCATGGATCTCAGTTCATCTCAGAGACCATGCAGTCTTTTGACAAACTTCTGTCGATCGCACACGTATTTTCAGCTCGGTATAATCCGAAGTCAAATGGTGTGGTAGAAAATTTTAACGGGCGCTTAAAAGCCATGCTAGCAAAAGTTACAGCTGAATTTCCAGATGACTGGGATAGGTATCTACCTGCTGTACTTTTTGCATACAGGGAGGTTCCGCAAGCCAGTACTGGATTTTCACCTTTTGAGCTTGTTTACGGTGCCAATCCAAGAGGCCCTTTGTCTATTTTAAAAGATCAGTGGTCAGACCGAGACAGGGAGGGTTCTCTTGAAACATACTCTGAGTTTGTGACAGAGTTGCGTCACAAAATTATCTCTGGTTGTGAAATTGCTAGACAAAGCCTGGATGTTGCAGGAAGTCGACACCGTGAATATGCTAACAAGGGACGTCGACTGATTTCATTGAAACCTTCTGAGCAGGTTCTTCTTCTTCTACCAGACACGTCAAATCGACTGTTGACATGCTGGCAGGGTCCATTCGAGGTAGTGAAAAAGATTTCATCTGTAGACTATCTGGTTGATGTGAGAGGACATAGAAAAGTATACCACATTAATATGCTCAAGCTTTTTAAACCACGTCCAGCAGAACTAGAGACAGTTATCGATACTGCTAATAGGGAGATTGAGAACACAGATAGGCTTAATTCAGACGCTAATTTCTGTTACGTTGTTGACGAAACTCCATGTAATGCTGAGGAAAGTACCTCATTGCATATTGTGTTGCCTGCATTAGAGCCAAAGGAGTCTTGGAAAGATGTAGAAATTTCACCATCTATTTCCCAAGAATACCAACATAAATTCCAACAACTCTTACAGAAATTTCCAACTACGTTTACTGACATTCCGGGTAGAACAACGCAAGCTGTACACACCATTAAGTTAGTTGATGATTGTCCAATCAAGTTGCGACCATATAATCTACCGCTACACTATCAGGAAGCGGTTGAGAAGGAAATTGACGAGATGTTGCGTCTAGGAATCATAGAACCATCCTCATCACCATATTCTTTTCCCATGGTAATTGTTAAGAAGAAGGATGGAAACATTCGCATCTGTATTGACTACAGAAAATTAAACCGTGTTACTGTTTTAGATGCAGAAAATATGCCAAATATAGAGGATTTGTTTCACAGGTTAGCAGGAGCTAAATATTTCACAAGGCTAGATTTGTCAAAAGGATATTGGCAAATCCCACTTGCTGAGGAGGCTAGACAATATACTGCCTTCCAGACACCTCGAGGCTTGTTTCAATTTAGATATTTGAGTTTTGGGCTAACCAATGCTCCAGCTACATTCACACGCTTGGTTAGGAAGTTAGCTCAAGGTCGTTCAGACGTTATCTACTATTTAGATGATCTCTTACTATTTCATAATGATCTGGATGCACACATTCAGGGTTTGAAATCTCTTCTTAATAAAATTAAAAGTTTTGGCTGAACCATCCGACCTTCTAAGGTCCAGATAGCATTTCATGAGCTAACATTTTTGGGTCATGTTGTTGGAAATGGTCTACTTAAACCAGAAGACAATAATGTGGGCAAAATTCTAAAAATCCCTACCCCAAAAACCAAAAAGCATGTTAGAGCTCTACTGGGTCTGTGTAACTTCTACGCTAAATTTATTCCCCATTATTCCTCTATAACATCTGTGTTGTCTGAGTTGACAAGAAAGACGATGCCTCGAGAGGTGTTTTGGGATGAATCCTGCGCACAAGCATTCAGCCAGATACAAAGAACATTTAACAATAAACCATTTCTGAGATTGCCTAATCTATCACTTGATTTTTATGTTTCCTCAGATGCTTCAAATGTCGCACTGGGAGCAGTAATTTCCCAAATGTACGATGGGACTTTACATCCTTGCCTCTATGCAAGTCGCAAATTGTCCGACACTGAAACACGCTATAGTGTCGGAGAGAGAGAAGCACTGGGAATTTACTGGTCCATCGCTAAATTCTCCAGGTACCTAATAGGGAGAACGTTTTATGTAATTACAGACCACAAGTCACTTGCTGTTTTGAACACAGGGTCTGTAACAAATGCCCGTATTCTTCGTTGGACATTGTTTCTTCAGACGTTTAACTATACCATCATCTACCGGAGTGGTAAGGAGAACGTACTTGCTGACTATTTGTCCAGATTTCCTTGTACGTCATGAGACAATCAGTTCCTTTTCACATTGGAATTTTTATACCTCACTACACTGCAATGGATGCTTATATATTGGTATCAACATACTTTATCCAGATATGTATATTTCAAGGACATACCTATGAGAAGTGTTTAGTTAGTTAATTTCTCAAGTGTTTTGGACAGATGATTCCATTTATTGGGATTGACAGTAATTATGATATGTGGATTTAGCTTATGAGTTATTAGTGAACCAGTTATGATATTATATTGTATTTCTTGTTGTTTATTTCATGTCTTATTATAACAAAAGTTATCATCATTTTGTTTACATGCATTCTTATTATAACAAAAGTTATCATCATTTCGTTTACATGCATTCTCACTTAACTGCATGTTGATTTCACTAGGTATATTCGAATATAAGTTGTCTAGATGACTACAACAGAGTTAAAATTGTGCAACTGAAAACGTAGATTTTCAGTTTGTGAGAGGAGGGGATAAGCTGTTGTAATCCAAGAGTTAAAGTTTCTTCTAGTTTCTTCTAGTGGTCACAGCGCAGGTGAAAGGTTCACACAGCGGCCACCGGTCGGGTCTGTTACCTGGGATACCAGCTAATTGAATGCTGGGCGATTAACACAAAGGCTCCTGCAGAACACAAAGGATTCGGCAGTCAAGATATTTCCCTTGTTCGAAGCAGACGTTCCTTCTTTGTGAAGTTTGATTAACCGTACTTACACGGGAGACAGTTTAATGTCTATTTATTTATTATAATGGCAGGAGTCCATTGAGAAAAGAGTGTAATTCTTTTATATTCTCAGAGTAGATAATAAAGAGTTATTATCGTACGTTTTTATTGAATAATCATCATCATCTTGTGACGTGTAACTTTAATGCCATTAAAGTTTATGTGGCCTGTCACAAGCGTTATTGTTGGCTTGTAAAGGTAGCGACTGTATTACATGATGCTGTGTCGGTGCCAAGTGTGCCAGTTATAGAATGCAGGACTTCACTGTAGCACATCCATCAAGGAGATATCCAGCGGAATACTAGAATAGGCACCCTAGGCCTAAATACTTGGTTGAATATAAAGTATACAAAAGAATGTACAAATTAAGTGTACAACAGCTTTCAGGTTCAGCTGTTACACCTTCAGTCCGGCACCTCCGCCTGTCTTTTGTATGCGCTTCCTTTACCTATGGGGACCCTGTTACTCATTGGATAGTAAACGTTTGTGATTAGAGTAGCTTGTTCTAGATGACTGATGTCCCTAGGAAACGGGCCCCATCTGCTCGTCCTACATGACATGAAATATATACCAAAGGGTGGTGAGGACCGTGTACCTCACGCTTCAACACCCAACATGAAAGGCCAGGGTGTATCTGTTTTTCTGCTCACTGCCCTTTGACTTGACAGATTTTGGAGGCTTGTTGGTAGCTACACTACCGCCAGGTTAGCTCTCGGGGTCATTGAGAAGCTTGTGCTCCCAACCTGGCAGCAAGGCGAAGACTTACCTGGGAGAAACACTGGGAATTCTAGGATAAGGATTTATATTTTCAGCCTCTCTGTTCATTCCAGGTGTATCAATCATATCCTGATATACATAAAGTGTATCACGGACAGTTGGCCAGTTCGTAAAACAATTATGTGGACGAGGCAGAGGTGTAGTTGATTAGACGAAATATGAGAGCACCCTCGACAGAAGAAGATGAATGTGTTTTGGAGACAAACAGACACACGAAGGTAACTGATTCGCCTCATCAGAAGGAGACAATCTACATTTTTGTATCATGACATGAGAAGGACAAATCAACTGGAGTGTATCAAGACCTTGGGAAAGTTGGAGGGGAAAAGAAGTAGAAAGAAATCGAGCGAGAAGATACTGGATGCCTAGAAGATCCCCTGACTAAAATTACGGGAGACAAAAAGCTGTAGATAGACAAGACTACCAACTCTACAGGGCATAGTCTATAAGAACAAGGTCGTTTAATATCAACTTTCTTCTGAATCCATATTAACGACTGCATATTCATAACCATAACTTCTGACTTGTAATCATGACTTGTATTTTCTGTTGCAGGCTTACGAGAAAGCTGTGCAACTGAACTCCACTTTCGTTGAGGCCATCACAGATGCAGGAACAGTTCACTTCCTCCAGGTCAGAAAGAGAGGGAGAGAGAGAGAGAGAGAGAGAGAGAGAGAGAGAGAGAGAGAGAGAGAGAGAGAGAGAGAGAGAGAGACAGACAGACAGACAGACAGACAGACAGACAGACAGACAGACAGACAGACAGACAGACAGACAGACAGACAGACAGACAGACAGACAGACAGACAGACAGACAGACAGACAGACAGACAGACAGAAGGAATGTAAAAGTTGGCGGGGAGTTGTTTAGGTAGGTGTGTGAGAGTTTAAATGTATGAGTGTATGCTTGTGTTGTGGGTGTGTTTAACAATGTGTGTCATATTATGTTTATCTTAAACAATATCAACAATTATACATATTAGGTGACTTCAAACGCAAACCTCAGTTGTGGGTGAATATATTCCGACAAAGTAGAGAACAAATGTATCATTTGTTTATATAGTCACTACAGTGCCCAGTACAAATGCTACTGCACCGATTATATGCTTGTATTTGTGTATGACAAACATGCTCTTGATTGCGTATGTAACCATTCACGCTCTACCTGCTGCACATCTTCATTGGACTGAAAAGTATTTCCTTCCATTTACTCTTTTGAGTTGTCCAGACAGGGGGAAATCACTCAAGGCTAGGTCACTGCAGTACAGTGAATCGGGTACACACTTAATGTGAAGATTTTCGATGCTTTCAAGCGTTGAACGTCCAGTATGGGTTTGAGCATTGTTATGTTGCAAAAAGACAAATTTACCCATACATCTGTGTCGATTAGATTTGATTGCGTGTCGAAGATGTTTCCCGAGAAGATCTATATACGTATCATTGGGGACATTTGTTATTCCTCCTTGCATGTAGTATTCTAAAATAACGCCGCATTATTTCCAAAACAGTCAGCTCAACCTTCCCTGCAGACGGCTGCGTGCGAAACTTCTTTGTTTTCAGTAAAGAGGGATGGTGCCAATTCTTGGTCGCTCTCTTAGTTTCCGGCCCATAATTAGTGAACCCATGCATCATCTAAAGTAACAATTCTTGGTAGAAAAACATCAACGTCTACTTCAAAGCACCTCAGAAGTTCTTGTCAAGCATCAGTGTGTTGTTGTTTTTGTTTCAATTATAGAGTAAGCTGTCGTGGCACCCACCTTGCAGACACTTCGCGGTTCAGTAACACATTCATGAATGATGTGGTGTGCTGAACTTTGACCGATGTCGCCATGTGCGGCAAGGTCACTCACAGTCAGTTGACGAATTCTCTGTAGGAGACATTCAACGGCTCTAATCGACTTTGGGAGCTCCCCTCTGAGTGCTTGGTCGTGAAAAGGAATGAATCGCCATATTGTACTCTCATTTCTCTATGGATTTCTATCAGTTTTACCCCTCCAGTGATTTAAAAAACCACGATGCTTAGGTCTCTTGACAGGTTACATGGCATGGACACCGTTATCATAATTTCTGTAACTCTTGGTTTTCATTTAAAGCCCCTGTGTGCATTTTGAACTTACTGGAGATAAGAAACAGATAGGGGAAACAAAGAGAGAAAAAGGAAGAAAAATAGCTACGTAAACAGACAGACAGACAGACTTACAGTGTACAGATAGACAGACGGATAAAGGGAAGAGGGAAGGAGAGATAAATAAACAGGCATACAGACAGGCGTACATATAGACACCCATACAGATAGACGGACATACAGATAAACATACATACAGATAGACATACAGATAGACATACATACAGATAGACAGACATACAGATAGATAGCCATATAGACAGCTGACAACGAGCAGACAGTCGAAGTACACAGAGGAAAAGACAGAAAGAAAGAGAAAAAGACAGAAATAGAAAAAAAGAAAAAAAGAGCAAAACTGAGAGAGAAACCGGATGTGTGTGTATGTATGTATTTGTGTGTGTGTATGTGTGTATGTATGTATGTGTGTGTATGTGTCATCATCATCAAATTATGTAAATCTCCACAGAAAAACTATCCTCTAGCAGAACGCTACTACCTGCAGGCCGTCAGCCTTGACCCCAGCTATAGCTTGGCTAAGGAGAACTTCCAGAAACTCCGGAATGTCTACCCAAAGTCTATCAGCGCTGGGAAATCATAGGCGAGCCCTAAAGTCAATCAACTCGGTGAGATAGTAGCAGAGACCTAAAGTCCAAACACTTCTAGGAGATCATAAGTGACACCTAGGCTTTATCAACGTTGTGAGATATCAGTGGAGACTCAGTTCATCAAGGCTGGCAGATCATTGAAGAGGCCCAAAGTCTAGCATAGCTGGAAGATCTTATGAGAGACCCACAGTCTATCAACCATAGTATGATCATAGCGATACTCAAACTCTATCAACGTTAGTATGATCATAGCGGTACTCAAAGTCTATCAACGTTAGTATGATCATAGCGGTACTCAGTCTATCAACGTTGGTATGATCATAGCGATACTCAGTCTATCAACGTTAGTATGATCATAGCGATACTCAAAGTCTATCAACGTTAGTATGATCATAGCGATAGTCTATCAACGTTAGTATGATCATAGCGATACTCAAACTCTATCAACGTTAGTATGATCATAGCGATACTCAAAGTCTATCAACGTTAGTATGATCATAGCGATACTCAAACTCTATCAACGTTGGTATGATCATAGCGATACTCAAAGTCTATCAACGTTAGTATGACCATAGCGATACTCAAAGTCTATCAACGTTGGTATGATCATAGCGATACTCAAAGTCTATCAGCGTTTAGGAAATCGTAAGTGAGACCTACACTCTAACAAGACTGTGAGATGGTACTGGAGACCCGAAGTCCATCAAAGCTGGAAGATCGTAGATGGCTACCCAAGTTTGTCAAAGTTAAGATATCCTATGGGCAGCCAATGTGCGCCACCTTTGGCAGATCGTATAGAAGACCTACAGCGTTGTGCTGGCGTATCGAGCGAATGAACTGCTACATGCAAGCCGGTTGTGGTGAAGTTGGAACGTTGATCAGCGACTAACTGCTACACGTATATGTAGGGAAAAAGTGGTCTTCCTTCTTGGCCCTTTTGTGTGTGTGTGTGTGTGTGTGTGTGTGTGTGTGTGTGTGTGTGTGTGTGTGTGTGTGCTTATTATACACCCAATCCGCTAAATGCAAGAGAAGAGTCCTTCAGTACTACCCAGAGAGAAGAGTGGCACTCCAAATAATATTTTGCTTGTTGAACTACGGTAACGTGGAATGTGGACGTTGGAAATCACAAAATTTAAAAATGGCCTATGAATTAAACTATCAGTTCCTATAACATAGCTTCCTGCTATGCCCTGACATCTTCAACAAGTCACCCACATTGGGCCATGTTCCTTTCTAACCCAGAGGTGTCCCAATATAACCGAGATTTCAGTTCAGATTGGATCCTGCCTCCAAATATTACACTTTGAGTCAGTGGGCGTTACTCTTACAAGCTGCAATACCCGGGGGGGGGGGGGGGGGGGTGGGGAGTGGGGGGGGTGGAATTGAATGCAATTAAAGGGGGAGGGTAGGGGGAATAGGTTGGCTCTCCAAACTGGGACATAGTTTCATTGGTTGTCTCTGTGGCCAAGTGGTCAAGACGTTTACCGCCTGGCGATCTGAAGGTCGTACGTTCTGGGCCGTTCGGTTCAGGTTTGGAATTTTTACTCGGATATCTGGAGATCCGCGAGAGCTACGGAGTCTGTGCCTTGTGCGACACTCTGGGTAGGCATCCAGTCGTTATGTGGAGAGAGCAAGCCATATGGGGTAACACTCGATGCAATCCTCCCGACTTGAACTTTGACTGCAACTTTGACTGAGATGTAATAAGTGTTCTTTTTCATTTTTATAATTGTGCTATCCCATTTTGTAAATACATATACATATATATATATGTAAAGTGTCAACTGTAGTGAGATTTAACAAAAAAAGGTCTTAAAGTGTTATATATCACCACTGTTGCTATAAACAGGTGAAACAAGACAAACACCTTCTGGCAGCGGAAATGTGGTTTCTCAAAAGGTTTAAAAAAATAAAAGAGATCGCGGAATGACAGAAAAACAAACAAGGGAGTAAACTGTTAAATAAATTAGGTATAGACATTCGCCATTTCTTGAATATTGTGAAAAGAAATAAAGATGAAAACTTGTTGAAAGCATTCATGGCTGGTTTGAAGAGATCAAAAGGAAAAGGACAAAGAGATAAATGTATTTATGTGTTTATCACAGGAACACGAACAGGAGCACTGGGCTAATGCGTGTTTCTGGGGATTGTGTAGGATGATGACTAGCAACGTTTATCGGTATTACACATGATAGTGATGATATGTATGCGTATGATGTCTTTTAATTTCTTTAAACCAACTGTGATATTTATATTGTTATTGTATGTTATTAAAAGGAAAAATAACTTTTATTTCTTCTGGATTACGACTAGGATTAATGCTGTGTGCTTGTGTGTGTGTGTGTGTGTGTGAGAGAGAGAGAGTGTGTGTGTGTGTGTGCGTGTGTGTGTGTGCGTGTGTGTGTGTGTGTGCATGCGTGCGTGCGTGTGCGTGCGTGCGCGTGTGCGCGTGTGTGCGTGTGTGTGTATGTATGTGTGTGTGTGCGCGCGCGCGCGCGTGTGTGTGTGTGTCCGTGTGTGTGAACGCCTAGAAATGTATTTGAATATATGGTAAACTACTAACTACTATCAATCATCTTAAACTTAGCTCTTCAGATGACACAGTCCTCCTTTCAAACAGCATAAAGGGAATTGAAAATTTAATATTGTCTGTCCAAAAGCACAGTGAAGATCAAAATCTGTTCTTGAATTTAAATAATGTCCACCGATAAAACGGTCCCTCACCCCCCCCCCCTCCCCCCCAAAATGATGAAGAAAATGAAAATGTCACAAACTTTGAATATCGAGGCTCTATAATAAACAACAATGGAGACTGTTCGACAGAAATTAAAAGGAGGATGGCCATGGCAATGGAAATATCAAACAGCCTCAAAAGTCTATGGTTACGCGCCAGCAAAGAGATCAAAATTTGAATTTTGAGAGCATGCATCTTCCCTGTGGCTACATACGTATCTGAGTCGTGGACTATCTCTCAGTCCTTAAAAAAGAGAATAGAGGCTTTTGAGCTGAAATGCTATAGAAAGATTCTCAGAATATCTTGGACAGAGAAATACTGACATCTTGAAAGATCTGAACATCAAGGAAGATTGGCTAATAAACAGCATCCTGTCTCGGAAGCTGAAATATTTTGGTCATATCAAGCGCTACGACGGATTAGACAAAAAAAAAAAAAAAAAAAAAAAAAAATAGCAGAAGGCATGGTACCAGGAAGGAGGGGCAGGGGCCGACCAACAGGAAGATGGGCATAGGTTATAAGTGACTCCTTGAGTATTAAGTACATGAGGCGGGAAAGCTGGCCAGAGACCGAATTTCTTTCAGGCAGACCGTTATGAGAGCGACGTTCTGCAAAGAACCTGCCACATGATGATGATGACTACTATACACACACACACACACAGAATAGTCAGTATTTAATTGGTAAGAACATGTCACCTGCAGTGAGAAAATGGATTTAACGTGATAAACAGAGATTGTGTTGTTACTTACATACACGTGAACCTTAGACAGTCTGGGAAGCATCTACTATGAGATTCAATGTTTTTTTTTAATGCACATAATTTCTTGGAAAAATAGACAAACTAATGTGGCATTCGTCTTTATGACAGATGCGAGTCGTCAGCTGTTATGAGAATGAATGACTCGAGACCTAGCAACAACTGGAGAGATTGAGGGGAGGAGAGCACAAAGAAGGCAGAGAAACAGACAGTTGGTATTTTTCGGACACGTTATGAGGAGGAATGGACTCGAAAACCTAGCAACGACTGACCAGATTGATAGACATAGAGCTAGAAGGAGGTAGAGAAATCGATTCCCGGATGGCTTGGTCATATGGGGATGGGGAGGAACAAAAACACTGACAGCTCAATGAGGGAGGTGGGGGATATAACACAGACAACTTTTTAAAATAAATCCGAGCTCAAGTCAGTCTTGTTTAAAACCTACCCGGGTCGAGATTTGAACCTGGATCTTGAACATCTAAGGCTGACAGGCTGTGTATTATCGCAGATCTAACGTTTTTGTAATTCCACGGGTACCAGGGGTGCTAACCACAGCTAGTTTTTGAAAAAGTTTCTCTACTGAGTTATCTAACCTTGTGTAGATCCGTGGTATGGAGTTTAGTGAATGTGTTTAACAATGTCATGATCCTCGAGTAATATCGTTCTGTTTCTGCTGTGATCTATGGACAATAGTATGAGAATCAAAGCTTGGGGGGGGGGGCGGGGGGAAGAGGGGTCTAATCACATCATGTTCGCAAGGACAGTGTACACCAGTGTTTCCCAAACTTGTCTTAGTCGTGGCGCCTTTTTTTTTCAGTTAAAATCTTTTCACGGCGCCCTAACCTGAGTAAAAGAATGACTGTCGCGGCTCCTCTGGGCGCCGCTGCGCACAGTTTAGGAATCACTGGTGTAAACTGCAACAATCCTTGACTGTAGAAGCCGCACATAATTATTGAACTTAGAAGGAAAGAGCTAAAAGAATGAGGAACAAATTCTCAGCTTTTATTACAGTTTCCAGAGAACTGGCGGTGCCTTATGAGATTAATTGCGTTCGCAGCTACTGATCTTTTGTAACTGGTGCTTCCATCGACGATGAACTGCATTCTTGTGTCAGATTGTTTGTGTTGGCACTTCTGACTTATGTATTTAATACACATGAATGTTGTTGAATTTGCTAAGACTTAAGTTGTTTTCACAAAGGACAGTAGGCATTCTATGTGGTTTTTGATGGCACAGGTTTGGAGCAACTTTTAGATGATCCATTTGTTATGACGCTGGAACTGCGATACTCCGATTACTTGACTACCTAAATTTAATATGTCTATGATGAAGTTTGTCGGCTCTGTGGCTAAGTCGATGCGAACACTTCGTAATGCCGGGATGCTGGGTTCGATCCCAGCTGCTGGCCATGCCCATTGAGTTGGTTTCAACAGTAGTATCAAGAAAGCCGACCACACAGAAAGCAATGGCAAACTACTGGACGAAAATTTGCCTAG